TTTATTTTGGTCGTTTTCAAATTTTACTTAACACGGGTCACAATATGGCTTCCTTGTGTGGTCTATTAAATTATGCACATTTTTTTCTGCACTTCATTTAAACTTATTTCCTCGAATTTCATTAGAGATATATTTCTCATTGAATTAATTCAGGTCTCACTTCGCGGCAAGGCGAATACATTAAACTCAAAACACCTTCCTTAAAAATTGTAAAATACAGGAAAACATAAAACATGAAATGCAGTTAAAAGAGTTAAAAAAACAGTTTTCACAATTAAAATTAGAGTTTCTGCGCAAAAATAAGCCATTCTGCAAGCGGGCAAGAAGGCCGATTTTTCGGTTCGAAATGCTGAATGTTTACCTTTGGTCCCATTAGGCAAAATAATTCAATCACATTTAGAGCAAAAAATGCACAATTTACAAATATATAATAATACAAAACTAAGATCACCGAGCCAGGAAACGGGGGGGGGATATATATGTTTATATAACATTGGTGCAGTCGATTCCAACGAAAACGGGAGATGCATAACTACATGTTATCGCAGTCCCATATACAACATTTCTACGTTCTACGGCTACTTGATCTTGAGTTATACGAAATACATACATACGTAAGTACGTGTGTACGGTACTGACGTCAAGAAGAAAATCTCTTCTGAAACCCATTCCGATATCCAAAATGTTTTATGATTACAATACTTGCTTTACTTCGTACAAGGAAGTAAAAAACGAGACAGTTACCAAAATTTTGTTTACAAAAGTCACAACGAAAAATTAAAGAAATTTAAAGAAAAATGAAAACAAAACAACAGCATGAACAAAGTAGCAGCTTAACCCTTTCCGGCACGCTACCTTTTAAAGTTGGAGTTTTGATAAGAAAAAAGGTAGGCAGTCTAATTAGGCCTAGAGGAGTACACAAGTAAAATTTTGTGAAGATAGCACTTATCGTTTAATTCTGTGGGTGTGCCTTAAAAAAGTCTGAAAGATTTCTGTGAAAAATGAAGGTCTTAAGAAACTAAACATGGGTAAAATATATGGACTGGTTTGTGTTGAGCTGCCATCTACTATAAATAAAGAAAGTTCAGAGTAACCTATAGTAGCCTATAAATCCTGTTTCATTCAATTTTTCTATACGTACAGAAGGACATTTTTAGGTGTTTTTTTCAGACCGGACACACTGTGCCGCAAAGGGATAAGCTACTGCGTTACGTTTGGTTTGTTTCATTACGGCAAAGCCTCAACAGCTATCTGCCGGAGGGGAAGAATGACTTCGTGGAGAGCTTTCTAATGGAAACTGTCTAGCATACACGTTATACATTGAAAAAAAGAAAAACGCCTACGCAAACAATCGGTGCGAGGAATTCGAACTTCGGACCGAACTACTGGTGTTAGGCGACTTTACCGTTCGGCCGCTGGTGGGCCTCTAGCGACTGAGTTAGAAGCGAGCATATAGATCAAACATGGGCGCAATGGAAAAGCTCTTTTTTTCCGCTACTAACGTTAAGTACATATGTTAAATATTTTTTTCTGGCTTCACATGCACGCTACGTGTTAGTTCCTGCTTCCTACGATATTTGTAATTATTTGGTTTTGCGTTATAATGCTGGCGATAGTTTCATTTTGATGCTTCTGTGGAATTACTGAGCCAGCTTTGAGTAAATACGTTGAGTAAATACGTAAATTGTGCAATCTGACTACAGTTCCACGTTTAACTTAAATTTGACTGCTTTGTGTAGTTAAATTCCAATGTGCTCTGACTAACTACAAGACAGTGCGTTAAAGCTGCAAATTCTATTTAAATAAAAAGGTTATTTAAAACCGTCTCACGAACTGTAGTTACTTTAGACAGCGATAATTTGCGCTTCCCGCCTGCTGACGTTTTGAGACTGACTACCAAAGCGAGGTTCAATAAAACCCATACAACGCCAAACAAATGTTGAGCTCACATGTCGCCAAAGATGTCGAATATATCGAGAAGGTTCTTATTAGAATATGTTTCATAGAATTAAAAAAAGTAACTCCTCGCAATTATATCAGGATGTAGTGTCATTAGGATGTTTTATGCGGGCGATGTGAAAAATGAGCAATGTCCTCGCCGGGACTCAAACCTGGACCACTCGAATTCGCGCCGAGTCTGCTTACAGTTACACCACGAAGGCGTTCTGGAAGGAGAGTGATTATGTTCTTCACATTTGAAGTCGGATATGGATTTCAGAATATTCTGTTTACTAAAAGTGCTCCGTTAAAAAGGAGGAAATTCTATTCAAGCTGGTGATTTGAGTTTTTTAATTTCTGTGTTCTTCACGAAGTAAACCTGCTTAATGGGCCTTTCTTTAAAACTGAATATTATATATAAATATTTTAAAGAAACAGAAGATCCATTTAAATATTTATTGAAGTAGGGGTGTTAAGTAGTAAAGTGTAATTAATATATTTCGAAAACGTATTCCACTAAACATGAAAATATATAGAGATAGGTACTTATCGAAGCAGAAAATACGAAGAATGAAATAATTCCTCACAGGATTCTAATTCCGAAGCTTTTCTTTGGCGGCCGGATAGTGCTACAAAGCATACCACAAAGGCAGACAGTGAGGAACGTAAAAAAAAATTCCTTATATTCTCCCCTACTTAAAGGGCGACTGGGGAAAGAAAAGACCGAGTCACTAATTGAGATGGAGATGAATTATCGTTTAATATATTTTAGTCAGGCGCCACTATAGAGTGGTTAGGCTTCGTCGAAGGAAAAAACACGAAAAATCAGTTAAACACTCGCCGGAATTCAAAAGCATGCAAAGGATAATGCGAAAATAACTTACAAATATACAGAAGGGGGAATATAATTATAGTATCAGAAAACAATTATTATTTGAATTTCGCCGTTTAATTTTTCTTGGAGTGTAAGTAAAAATCTGATAAAAAAGAAGTTTTGAATTAACTGATACAAGATAAAAAATGACAGTTATCTTCTAAATAATATTAACTAAAAACATCGAAGAACAAATGTTTAAGCTAATATAGCCAAAGGAAATAGCGTAATTTGCATAAATTTGAGGCGTTAGTTTTGGAGGTTAAATAGAACGCTCTCCCTCGCCCCAATTAATACCAAAAATTAGCGTTTCACAGAATTTTGCTGTTGAAATTCAAGTTGTTATTAAAACCTTGCAAGACATTAATTTCGACATTTACTTTGCTTATGTTCGTGGACAGCGTGGAAATTTTTGAAATGAGGGAACTGATGAGGAAAGCTAGCTACGAAACTTCACAATGAAACTATATTTTCTGAGAGATATTAAAATCATAGGTCTTTCACTGAGAAACGTAAAATACTTAGAAGATATTTGGAACAGAGAATGTTTCACCTTGACAGTGGACAAAAAGGTTTTCCCCTATAAGTTTTCACACAATAAAAGTTAATTAATTTTCAACAGATTTTAAATTAATATTGTCAGGACATGGCAATTTTGAGAATTATTTAAAAGCGATCTGGAATTTTTTCAAGTGCTTTGTGAAGATCATGTACCGCTGACGAAGATGTTGATCATATTCATCCCGTCCAGCAGACGAAGATGCTGTAGAATACTTTAATATATCTATTTGTATGTACCTTGGCCACTAATATTTTCTGAACTTTTACATACTAGAGTGATAATTCCTGCTTTTCGAAATTTCCTTCCCAATTTAGATTACTGATATATTTTTGCTTAATTTAAATTTTATTACTTTATATTTTATTTAATTACTTTTTATCCCTATTCCTTTTTTTTATCCTTTGCAATGCTGTTATGCATTTGTTTATTTATTTTGCCAATGCTATAACTAACTTGTGTAGACCTTGTTTTATACTTTGAAGAATACGAAAGGATGGAATTAGAGTTAAAAAAACTGAAAGAGCTCAGATTTTAACGATTGCCCGAAAGGGTTCGTTAAAGTTTTTGTACGTATTTGCTGAGATCACTGCCTACCAGTCTGCTGTTGCGTTCACCCCTGCTAACTTCTTTCTTTTTGTCTTTTTGGCTTTGCTATTAAGCATTATTTTCTTCGCACTTGCGTCATGGAAATTCAACAGCAAAATTAAAAACATTTCAAAAGCAGTATGTGTTTAGAATTTCCGATGAAGTGTTAAGTCTTGGCATGCATTTTTCTATTTTTTTTTTGTTCAGTCATTTCTCAGTTTATCAGATCAGTGTATACAGTTCTCATAGTAAGATGGCTTGGTAAAACTTTTTTAATCTTTCAATTATTCAAGTTTCGTCTGTAAAATATTTTCAGTCACGCCACTTAAAATTCAGTTTAATAGTAAAGTACCGAAATTTTTACAAACAGCATATCGTTAGAATTTCCGATATCCAGTCTCGCACGCTGTAGATAAAAATATCTTAATACGTATTGTTACTGCTCGCTTTCTAATTACCGCATGTGTTAAAAACTTCACTGAAAAATAAAATTTGATATTCAAAATTTGAGCTTCCAGGTGCACATATGTTCGGGAATAGGACTGTGTTATTCAAAATTTGATGGCCCTAGGTACCATCGTTTTTTTTTTTCACAGTGCGAGAAACGTACCTAGATTCATGCAGATTCTTTATTATGTAATTTCCTTAAAAACAATATAGGATGATAACATTTCCTTTCTGAAAAATGATTCACAAATTTAAAGTGATACGCCGCAAAATCTCGTTTCGAGACAAATATGTCATTCGAGCTAACGTCTTTTTGAACTAAAAAGGCATTTGAAGCTTATCCTGAAAATTTACGCAACGTAACGTTGATTCTTATCGCTATACTATCTTTAACATCTTCTAAGTATTTTACGTTTCTTAGTGAACGACCCATGATTTTAATATCTCTCAGAAAATATAGTTCTGCAGACAATAATAAAAAAATTTTGAATGCTTTTTATATTGTTTTTCTTAAACTAACTCCAGGATCTCTTGGTTTGATGAAGAAACTGATAGCAAAATGAGTTCGCAATACTTTTATGAATACTGACCTACCTATATGTCAAATACAATCCAAAAGACCCCATCATGGATGTGGTGCCCACGGATGACCTTGGTGGTAAGTAGACAGACAGAGTCACATTGTTGCCTGTAGAGTAGAAAGTCACCCCGAGGTTGGATGATATTAGGCTGCCACAGAAAAGTCCAAAGTCCGGTTCCATATTTCCTGTCAAATCATATAGCTCGGACAAAGGTTTCTTCGGTGGTTCTTTGAAAGCTGACAAGAGTTGCTTGTAACCTCTCGTTTGCTTGCTTCTCAAGGTGGATTCAGGATTATGAGAGCCGTCATCGCCCAAGAAAAAGTCATCTTGGGACTCCGAAAGACGAAGGAAACCTCTGCGACATTCCAGTCTGTCCTCGCTTCCGTTCCTAAAAATAAAACAAATAATCGTTTTCTTTATTATGAGGCATGGTTCAATAAAATGCTACTGTAAATTGGATTCTGATTAAGAATTTTATTTCTTGTAGTATTTATTTCTTTATTTGCTGAACTTTACGGAATACAGCGTTTTGAATTCCGGCAAACCATTTGCAACGACTCCGTTTTATAAATTTATACTATTTGCAATTATATCGATTAAAAGCGGTATTAAAAATCAAATAAAGATTTAAATTAATAGTGAATATATCAAATGCTTTTAAATCGTTTATTAATTAATGAATGCAGTTGTTATAGTGAACGTCTTGGAAACTTTTTGGATAGATCTTAGGTTTGCATTACAGGCCATTTAGCACTCTGGAGGGAAAACTCGTCAACCTTGCAACTGATTTGAAACGAGATGGAACTCTACAGAAGAAGGAAGAGGAGAGAAAACGATGGAGGTGAAAAAAAAAGTGGTGGAGTGTGTCGAAGACATCTACGAGTTTATTGAGATATAGATAAGTAAATTTGCTATGTGTTTGTTCTCAGAATTAAAACATTTCAATGTTTCTTCAAAGAGAAGCTAATACGGCACAAGAAAAACTTTCGTTCGGAAACTAATCTGGCATTTTAAAAAAGCAACATAAAACTCACAAGAAAATAAATTGATCTGCTGAACCTCAATGTTTCCTTTCCCTGCCATATTGTGATCAAAAACAAGCATATATTTTATAAGCAATTTTGTATTCCAATCGATTATATGAATTCCAATCAACAGTCAAAACTGTTAGAAATATTGCATTCATTACTTTAAGATAATTTTTAATTACGGCGAAATTAAAGCATGTTTACTTAGTCGGTTTTTTTCTGACGAAATGCGAAACTGGAAAGAACAATTTACAAGAGATAAAAGTGTGGAAGAAGTGAATTCGCTGTGAAAGGAAATCGCGGTGGTGGTGGAGGAGGATTGCTAGTATACACTTCACGAAAGTTCCGAACCTGAATTAAATCATCTGAACTTTACGCTTCCTCCTCATCACTAGAGAATTCCGATAAAGAACTTTCAAGACTACCAAAATCATTTATAGAAAATTCAGATTGTTATGAGCCATTTGCTGTCACCCATCGTTCTTTTATTTCATGAAAAAATTGAGAAGAACTATTATTCGCAAAGCCTAATACACTGAAAACATGTAAGCAAACTCGTTGAATTTCTTTGCCTAATGAAAAGCGGTAAAAACGTATCCTCGAACTGATTCTGATGAACTGATTTTACAATACAGCCTCTCCTGGACTACTAGAGACATCTATTAGAAACACTGCAAAGTAAAAAAATGTGAAAAATCCAATAAAATCAGCGGATTGGCGCAGGAAAATACACTGTAATAGTGGTGCACGGGCAAATCAAAAATTTTTCTTTTTGCAGAAATTTACTTCCTTGTACTTTACTTTTACCCGAATGGTATTCGGGCAAAATATTTAAGTGGTTAACCGCAGCCCATATAAAAAGAATTGTTCTTAAATAATTTGTGGTTGGACTAGCTTTTGTTAATAACTTCCGACTTCGGGAAATAAACTGTTAAGAATGTATGTCAGAATAATTAAAAGTATATTCGAGCTATTCAGTGTGTAATTTCAGATAGCTGGCATAATCAATGAGCGAATATCTTGCAACACTGGGCAAAAAGACACATAAATTGGTGCACCAATTGACTTACCATGGTAATTCATTACACTACTAAGGGTTTCAAATGTAAACAAATGGAACTCTAATTAGTCATAACAGCATTTAAACTTTTAAATTGTTGATAACTCTATAACTTATGGGTTCAGATTAAATAAAGGCATAAAAGCCTTAAACGAAACATAAGAGCAGCATAATTCAATCGCTTTTAAAGTAAAAAATTCACATTTTACCAACATATATGAATAACAAAACTGAGCTTGCCGAGCCCGGTAACAGTGTGGGTGTATATATATATATATATTTATATACTTTTGGTGCGGCCGATTGCAACCAAAATCGGAGGTGAAACAACTACATGTTATAGCACTCCCATATAGAAAATATCAACGTCCTGAGGATACTTGATTTTGAGTTACGCGATATATAAAATCATACGTACAGGCATCACAAAAAAGTCTCTTCTGAAACTATTTTAAATTCATTTTACAATCAGTTTTGTGAAAAGAGTTCTTTTTTTCTGTCCGTACGGTACAGATGCCACGCGAAAACATCGTTCATATGGATTCGAGAGAGGCCAGAATGGATATTTCTTTGAAATATGATACCCGAAATTTTTCGCAAGTGCAATACTTCCTTTACTTCGTACAAGGAAATAAAAAGTGCGAATCTCTAATTTGCTGAGATCCCTAATTTCCGTCCTACGGATTGTAACTACACATGAGTGAGATTATACCTACACATGTTACAATCATAAATGATAAAGGGCTTAACAATGTTAAGGAGGTAAAGCACCTTGAAAGGTTGATAGATGCATAACATTCTTAATAATTATACGGTTGAAAGTTTTATTGTGAGACAATTAATTTACTATAGAGCACAAAGTACCTGGAGAAATTATACTTGAAGAGATATTTCTAATAACAACAGAATATAACTAGCGAGTACATATATTATTTCATTTTTGCGTTGTTTGTTCTCTTACTGATCTCATTTGTCTGAATCAGAACAGGTACACGAATTATCTTAGCAAGGAGTAGAAGATAGCGTGTGTCGTTGGCCAGAGCCGTAAGCACCATACAGGTGACCTTCCAGGTTTATGATCAGTTCCCTTCCCCTAAATTTGAAGAAACGCTCCCCATAGGGGCCAATTCAAGGATCTCCCAAACCTCATTTCCTACCGCCAATCAGGACTTTCGGCTTGGAGCATATTTTGAGCGCCCCCATGCCGCACAGACACTATACATTTACAATACAAACAACCATGGCTTCTCCGGGATTGGAACGTTGACCTTTGTTATGGCAATCAGTGCCGCTAATCATTTCTCGTCCATCCGACATTCAATTTTTGTTTTAATCAGAAATCCAACTTGCGTATAGATAGTAAGAAATATTGACGAACTGTAAACACGATGTACGATCTGTGTAAAGTTTACGGAAAATAGTCTTAATTTTAGTCGAGGAAAGCTGATTGCATGTTCTTTTACTCAAATGCTTCTAAAAAAAAATAAAAATAAAATAAGGCGTGTGGGAAATCTTCAGCTCATTTAAATTTCTACAATCCCTCTGGCAGCGGGAAATAATCTATTATTAAATAGATGTATACATTTTTATTCAAGTGCGAACAATTTCGGAGCCTAACGCTTTCCAGAAAAGAATATATTGTTAGAGATTCTTTGCTTAATAAAAACTCCAATTTTAAAAACGGTTTTCCACAAGCTTTTAAAAATTTGCGTTGTTTCCCAGCGAACTTAATATAAATTTTTCTTTCTCGCTATTTTTCATATTTGTTCGAAACAGAGAGGTAACAGCAAGAGAATAAAATATCCATTTCAGCCATACATTGTCATAAGAAAGAGAGGAAAAAAGAAATATATATATGAAAAAAAAGTTGACACAATTTCCAGGCTATAGAACAAAGATCTCGGAATGAAAAGAAGCGGGCAATACACAAACAAAAAATAAAATTGTATATACGAAATATTTTAGTATCTTGGAAGGTTGATTCGACGTAGTTGCCATGGCGACGAAACCCCACGGCGAGGCGAGAAACGGGGGCCTAGTGCAGCAGCTGAAAAAGCATAAACAAGTTTCGAAAATTTACATTCATTAGTTCGCGTCTGACGTACTGGAAAAAGCGGTTGTGCAGTAAAAAGAAAAGAAATACGGTAACTTGTTGGAATCTTTTGTTAGTTCTTCTTTCTTCAACCTCCTAAGAAAAATGTTGACTTTAATGTAGGAACTCTTATTTTCTTTTGGCTGAGCTGTTGAGCAAAGACGAAGGCTATTTCATTGTAAAAGTAAAGTAGACTTAAATACGAGGAGCATTCAGAGATAAATTGGAATCCATCATCTAAAATAGGATTTAGAACGGATCGGTGCTGATACGCTGGTGGTCAATGAGGATCAAGAGATTGATTGGCAGTAGATAGGTGAATATGCACCGGTAGTTGATAGGCATAATGAGGATCCCACTGATTATCCCCGCGAAAATTTAATGTTGTAAAGTTGATACACAGAAGTCAGCACATTAAATGTGCCTGTTCCAAAAGATTTACATTTTTGATAACTTTGTAGCAAGAAAGCAGCAGCAGACAGGCAGCAGTACAGCTAATGCAAAGCGTAGAAAGCAAGTGAGTAATGTTCAAGATGAAATCTGAAGTCAAACTGAGTTAGTTTTGGTTCTCAAAGCATTTTGATTGGATAGTTAATATTGCTGTAAAATTATTATTGGCTGCTTAAGTTCAATTTATATCACCAGAATTACGTAATAGTCATATGACATAGATTTTTCTCGAAATGACGCAGTGCAAATAGAATTTGCTATTTTTAGAATAGAGGAGGAAAATTAATTTACGCTGCTAATTTAATCTTTTACATATTCTTTACTTTTTCTTACATCCACATATATATATACATTTGGTGCTGCCGATTACAACTAAAAAGGGAGGTGTACATCTACATGTTATAGCAGTCCCAGATAAAAAGATTTCAACGTTCTGAGGCTATTCGTTTTTGAGTTATGTGAGATACATACATACTTACATAAATACGTACGCACGCACGTATGAAAAAATTCTTTTCTGAATCCATTTTAAATTAGTTTTAAATTCATTTTGGGAAAAAAGAGTCCTTTATTCTGTCCTTACGTACAGATGTCACGCGAAAACATCGTTAAATTGCATTCGATAGCGGTCAACATGGATATTTTTGCTAAAATATGGTACCCAGAATTTCTCATGTTCACAACACTTTTTTTACTTTGTACAAGGAAGTAATTATGAAATCTATCTCTTTTCACGTTCCTCCGCTCCCTATTA